ATAATTATTTAATCGGCTCTGAGATAAAAAAAAAAAAACAACTTCAGATTCGACGTGCAAAAACTAGCATCCATGCTAGCTCTGTAAAAAAATGAGCCGGCTGATGAGACGGCACGTCTGCGTGTCACATCAGTGCTTTGTTGCGTTCACACAGGGGTCTGATACAGGTCACATTTAAAATGTAATGTGAACGTTCACACAAAAAGATCGGATTTTTTCAAAAAAATCGGAACTGAGCATTAAGACCTGCAGTGTGAACGTAGCCTTAGATCAGTCGGGGACAGACTCCAGCTGCTGGGGGAGATTGTTATTGTTTTGGCCTTTTTCACTCTCAGGCCTGCTGCTGGCTGCTGTTGGCCTTGTTGGAGTCAGATTTTTGAATAAAGGGAATCAATTGGTTTTCTGCGAATTTATTCCAACTTCCAACTTATTTCTTACAATCCTATAACTAAAAAATTATAATTAATAATTAGCCGATAACTTGAGTATTAATCAAGTTTCATTTTGAAATACACTGGATGAGGACTCCTCTAAAAAAACTGCTAGACCATGAAGGTCTTCTCGAGGTCTTGTGAGGTCTTCAGGAGTTGATTGGAAACAGAGTGGCTACGTGTAAGGTCATAGTGAGATCTCAGTATGCACTAGTGAGGCTGAGGTTGGTCATTATGTCAGCGCAGTCATGATGGATACATGGTCATCTAGAAATTCAAACAGCCTTTCTGGCCTCATGTGAAGGCTACAACTTATGAGAAGGTCCTGGAAATAACCCAGCAGCAGTGATACATGTGGAGTGAATGTTGTACTATAGTGGTGTCATCTGGTAATAACTTTAACTGTCAGAGCAGGGGTGCCATTGATGGGGGGCCAGGGAGGGTAATACCCCTCCTGTATAAGACTGTCTAACGCACCTGTAAAGATCATTTTATGCACAATCTGTTAAAAAACCAGCTCATGGACCAGTGGACAAATTCAAAAGAAACTCTCGGAAAATTGTCACAGAATTGATTCACCTTTTCCTTCTTTCCTGTCTTCCAGCGAGGTCGAACTGCCCTCTCGATCGCCATGCAGGGTTCCCACACTGACACGGCTGCCCTGCTGCAAGCCCACGCCAAGGCCAGAGCCGTGCAGAGCTGAAGACCTGGGTTGGATTTATAATTCAGTCTCCTCAGACACTCAGATCCAACAGCTTCATGGGAACGTTTCAGCTGCATGGGGTTGGGTTGGACCTCAGTCCAATAAGAATGTAAATATTCAGACGTTTGGATGACTGTTGGTTGTTGATGCACTCTTACCTAAACATGCTGATCACTTTTTCTCTTTAAGTTTGATGGTTGTAGTTATCTTTGATCTTTGCACATCAATCTGCAAACTATGCAATGAAAACTATATTTATTTAGTAAAGTTTGTTCCATAGTATCTGTAATATGAATATAGTAGATACGATTTTAAGCATTTTTATCAGTTTAAAGGTAAACAAGGGGATTATAATATTGAAGCATTTGAGCATCAAATTAAACTTCTGGAAAATGTTTTTCACCCTGCATGCTGTCCACATGAACAAGACAAAAGTAAACAACATACTGAGTTGATTTACCACCATTTACTATGATAAACTATGCATTTTCTGTTTGTCAATAAAAAGTCAGACAACAATGATACATCTGTTTCGAACCATCGACTGAACTGTCATTTGTTGCTGCAATATTAAATGTGACCAGCAGGTGGGGCTGCTCTTCCATTTCTCCACTAATGTCTGAAAACCAAACAACAAACTAACACTACAAATATGATGAATGTCTGCGATGAACACGAGCAGGTCCAGGTGATTACATGTTCTTACAGGTGTGGCAGATCAGAAATACAACAGCCAGAGTGTGGACACTTAAATTCACCCGCTGGACCACCTGCAGGTCCAACTGTATGGACCACCTGCATGCAAGGCAAGCTACAGGACATCTCAGTGAGAGGTGAAAGCCTGTTTCCTTCATCAGCTTTTGTGCCCCTCAGATCCAGGGAAACAGTGAGGAGCAGAAGGTTTTGACTGCTGAATGGATTGATGTTTGTGAGACATGACTTAAAGAATTGAGTACAGATTGAAAAGATGCATGATGTCTGACAGAACAAGAACATCTCTTTGACCCTGCTGTAATGACCTGGAGTAAATATATCTCCTAGAATGGACAGCATGAGGATGTGATGGATGAAACTTCTCAGTTTTGTGTCTTGGATTAAACAAGCACAAGAGTAAAGCTAGATAAATATGTAAAAGTGCCCTTTTATAAAAGAATGTCTCTGGAAAACAAACAAACCAATCTGGTGCTGGTTTTACAGAAGCTTAGGGAGGAAACCACCATCCCCCCCATCTGAACAAGCCTTAATGTCAGAATGAATAAAGGAGCTTATCTCAGCCTTTGTGCAGCAGTAAACATCTGTGACACCTCTTTTCTCTGCTGCAGGCACCAACGGACTAATAAAAAATACTTATGTAATAAGTCCCTGACTGGGTTTTCTACAAGGCAGTTGAGTTTGAAGGCATTTCCTCCTGCTTTACTTTAATAACGATAATGGATTGGATTTGTCTGCTGCCGGTTTCCCGTTGGCTGATGAATCACTTGGCTAATGGACGAAGGCAAAACACATTTCAGTCAGTCTGGCTTTACATTCAGGGGGTCTTACTGCCTCAGCACAGTCTATAGTGGGCAATATGTTACCTCCCATGTAACAGATGTCAACACAATCTGCTGGCTTCTTCTTTAGATTGCCCTTTTTTTCATGTACAGTGCCCTGAGACAACGTAGTATGTTGTAACTTGGTGCTATATAAATAAACTGAATTGAATTGTTTGTGTAACAAAGGAAAATGATAAATTAATGTCTTACCTTATCAGCTGACAGTTGCTACGTGTTTCTTGGTGACTTTAGCTGCCTTTGATATGGTTGTTTTAGAACGTTTTGATAAATCTGTTGATTCAATTCAGCTTTGAATTTGCCAAAGAATAGGAAAAAAAAAGGCTGGTAGTTTGTCTGTGCTTTGGATTGAAAACTGTATTGTTACAAAGACAAAAGTCCAATCCTGAGACCACCTCCTCTGTTTAGGGTTGGTCTTTTCCATTTGACAAACTTCAGTCAAACCAGTTGTTTTCTTTGTCCAGAATGTGAACTCTGCTGCACCTTGACCTGAAGAACCCTTAAATGTTGTCAAATGGTTTTTTTTCTAAATCATAAAGGCAAAACAACATAAAAACAGATATCTTTAGTTTTATCTTTCCAGAACTGACAAATCAGTTTTGAATCTAGTCCTCGGTCAGTTTCTTACACCTCTCATTAACATCTTGCCAAGTCAACGAAATCCCTAATAAGCCTCAGGAGGGAGGGGAGGGCAGGGAGAGTGACTTGAATGTGAGTATACAGCTCACACGAACAACTCAACACAGTTTAAAAGGTTGGGAATTTACATTTTTCAATTTGACCTGATGAAACTACACAAACCAAAAGTGAAACATCTTTAAAATAAACATCCAGTAGTTTTTGATGACGTTTCGAGGACTAAGACAAACAAAACTATAAGCTATATTTAACTTCTATTTGTAATCCGGCTGTTTTTCTTTACAATGTCCGGTTGGTTAGCCAATAACCTCTTTGTCAGTCTAGAATTACCAGAGTATCTTAGCCCTGACGCTCTTCTCCACTCTTGATGGTGTCTCCCACTTTTGATTCTGGAACCTCTATACTCAGCCCAGATGTTCACGTACATTATTCCAGCCATTTGTTACAGCGTTTCATGGATGCTTTGCCTGCTGGGATGGACTGTCTCAGATTCATCTTTACCTGCATCATGAGTCCTGCCTGGTATGGTCAACCCTGGCCTGCTTTTCTGCAGCCATGATTAATGACCTTTGTGCCATCCTTCAGTCCAGCCCTTTCTGGTAGCCACTGGTAGTGTTTGTTGGTGTCAGCCACTTCCTCAATCTGCCGGTGGTACATATCATGTAGGGACTAGGGGTTTAACAATACATCGATTTATATTGATGTATCTATTAAATGGTTAATGATTCAATTATTTCGTCGCAAAAAGAAAATATCAATCTACTGTATATCGTCATCAAATGCTCAATGTGAATCATTATCAAATGACCATCTAACACAGTCATTGTGTTATGTGAGCATACAATATTGCATTATATCAATCGGAGACTTGTGAACTGAATTGAATCATATCGTGACAAACTTTGCGATATCGAGAAATATATTGTATCGTGATAAAGCTGGTTTATTTACTCCCCTAGTAAGGACATATCTTGTTCCACTTCTTCCACCTGAGACATTCACTCATCAGTTCATCATCAGGGGCTTGCCTCCTGATGTACCCCAGGGTCTTATAGTGGCTTGGACCTCACTAGTCTTCTGCCTCCCTCCTTTCTCTTTAGTGTATAGTCTCACGAAACCCTCCATGTATTGTGAGGAGTTAGTGAGTCTTGATGTCAGTGGTTTCTGACTCCTTCTTTCAGCCAGGTTGTTATACCAGCTGGTATCTGATACACACGTGATGATGGCTTGGGTTTTCTCCTTGCCAGTCAGTTTGCTCTTCAAGACATGCCAGACTCTCTGTAGGGTCTTGGTTGTGGATAATTTTCTTGCAGTCTAATTATGATAAACATTTGATTGTGAGATTTCAAGGTATTTGTAGCCATCCTCCATCTGCAACGTTGCCTTCAGGTAAATGGACTGTACTTGTACAGCTCCTTTCTACCCAACCTCATTCACCCATTCGCACAGCACTCTACCAGATCTCCTACAAAGTAAATGTACAATCAATCTATGGAGACTAATCAGTGCAGTGCCAATTACATTCATACACTGATGGGACACACATCAGAGGCATTAGGGGTGAAGTGTCTTGCCCAAGAACACAACTGAGACAGCTGGAGGGGGGATCGAACTGGTGACCTCCCAGTTCCAGGACGACTGCCCTAATCACTCTGCCACAACCACCTCAGGTAGCTCAACTCTTTCGTGATCACTTTCCATCTCTTGGACACAACTTAACTGCACTTATCCAGTCAGTTGGCTTTGGCTTGGCCTCTAGAGTCTTCTTCCACATTCATATTGAGTTTTTGATAAAAGCTCTTAATGTTCTGTTTAGGGATATCCCGATCCGATATTGATATCGGATATCGGTCTGATATCAGCCAAAAAACGAGTATCGGATTTTATCGGCCTGCATAAAAATATCCCATATAAGCACTCTCATATTAGTAGTCTGTTCCAGCAGTCCACTGACTCCGCTCCAGTGTTTCTATCCAGCAGCACTTGGATCCAGCATGCAGAGCTCACGTGATCACAACAACATGCAGCGCTAACAAGTTAGCAAGAATGTCGGCAGAACTTTCTATTGTCATCAGAAACAGAGTTCAAGCTAAGTGCAAAGTTTTCACGCACAAGTTTTCCATGGGAGCACAGAACCGTGAACATTTTAAACTGGAGCGACAACTACTCTCCACCCTGGCAGCAGCTTTGTGGTTCAGCCTCGGTCCAAAAGTGTCTCCATGATTCCAACCGAGCAGAACCTCCTCTCACTTCAGTGGTTCTAGCGGGCAGAAGCGAGGACAGCACGCTTTTTACGGTTTTGACATCAGCAGAATGTTGCCCGTGGATTAGCTCTTGATGGACAGAAGAAAGGAAGAGCGCAGCTTTGTTTTGGAATACGAGTGACATGACGAGAGCAGTGATAAAAACTGCTCCCTGCAGGAGCGAGAGGCTAATCTCCACATGATGCTCAGACTGTAGAAGGTATTAATAATTAACTGACTGATTCTTACTATTTATTTTTGCTCTTGTTTGTAGAGTGATGTTTAATCTATTTACACACTTGTTTAGTGAAGATTAAGTGCAATGAATTCATTCATTCATCCCTAAGAAATGTGAAATGTTGCTAAGTTGCATACAGGTCCTACATTTGACACAATGATTGTACTGTTGTGCTGCTATTGTGCCACACCATCTACTGTGCTGAAATTTATCTTTTAAATTTTTTATTCTTTTTTTAGTGTGCTCGTGTGTGTGTGTGTGTGTATATATAT